CGTGCACATAGCCACGCACGCCACGATGAGCAACAGTCGGAACGGGCCGAAAATGAACGCAAGCTAAAGATACAAACAAACAATTTTTTCCCCACCCATTTCCTCCTCCCACCCCTTGCGGTCGACTTGGAACCAGTCCGCTGGCTCCCGGTCAATTGCGATCGACGTATTGGGCACCCCTCCCTTAAAAACAGAGGTAATTCGCTGACTATCTTAGCGCTTAGCGCCGTTGTGATTCAGTCATCTGATTGGTTGCCCTCTGTGTCAATCAAGTAACGGTATTGATGATAGGGTGACGTAGTACATTCTGTGTATTTAGCGCCCTTGTTTGAATGGCATTGCCGCCGCCGAGGCGTTTTCGACACTTATCGTGTGAAAGCCCGGGAGGCGCATTGAACCGGCCAAAGAGCCGCACGTGGCTGTCGAGCCGCGGATTGGCCACCCCTGCTCTAAACCGTCTTTCTCTTATCACTGTTGCAATTGCAGTAGGTTCCCATGAAACTCTCCCCTCCAGCCTCCGCAGACCATCACCTCACCCCTCATCCATTGAGAGCTGCTTGTGTATGTGCATCTGGCTTTTATGTGTGATCTCATCCATGTTTGCATGTGTGCTCAAAGTTCACACAGCGAGCCATGTGACATTTACACAGTGGGGAAACGGTGTAAGGCGTACACTTGCACCATCCCTCCCCCTACCTCCTCTGTCTCGTCTCCCGACACATCTCCTCCCTGCGGACGACTAACAACAGCTGACCACTGTGTTTACATAAGCACATTAGTGAGGCACATAGCCTGTAGACATGACTGCCAGGGTCAAAATCCACTTCATTTTGCTGACCACAACCTCGCACATATGCATAAACACAATTTAGCAAACGTTTCTCCTCAGTGTTATTTTTCCTACCAAAGAGTATATGCAATGAACTCCTTTTTATCACAAGGGATACGTTCCAGACGCAGCTAGTGAAAAGGTGCGATATTGAGAGACTACCTGATTTTTTTTAAATATAGTTTTTCCTCACACACGCGCTAAAGTTCAACACACTTTTCAAATTATTATTTAATGACTGTACTCACTCTCTAGCTCAGACGGCTAAGAATCACAGTGTGTTTGTTTCAAGCTGTTTATGTGTCACACTCAGCTTTGTGCACGAGCGGTGATTCAGTCACCTGATTGGTTGCCCTCTGTCTCAATCAAGTAACGGGATTGATGATAGGCTGACGTAGACGGCTAAGAATCACAGTGTGTTTGTTTCAAGCTGTTTATGTGTCACACTCAGCTGCATATTATTGGAAAACCGTCAAGAAAAAAAGCTTAACTCTTAAAAAAAAAAGTCTGTTTGAACACCAAAATGTTCAACACATTGAACCAGCCAAAGAGCCGCAAGCGGCACGCGAGCCGCGGGTTGGTCACCCCTGCTCTAAACCGTCTTTCTCTTATCACTGTTGCAATTGCAGTAGGTTCCCATGAAACTCTCCCCTCCAGCCTCCGCAGACCATCACCTCACCCCTCATCCATTGAGAGCTGCTTGTGTATGTGCATCTGGCTTTTATGTGTGATCTCATCCATGTTTGCATGTGTGCTCAAAGTTCACACAGCGAGCCATGTGACATTTACACAGTGGGGAAACGGTGTAAGGCGTACACTTGCACCATCCCTCC